AAAAAATACAAGTATTTCACAATTGTATTGCACATCATGGATATTAGTGAGGTAGTTAAGGTGACTGAGAGTATGAAATGTCAGTAGTATTGCACAGTAGAAGTCCAGGTGTTTGGGAGGTTAGATGATTAAATCAGTGCATGTGAGTTCAGGGTGGTGATGGCTTTCAGTAAAATGTTCTTGAATCAGTTTGTTCTTGTTCTGATGCACCTGTAGCGTTTCCCTGAAGGTAACAAGTCAAACAGTTCAGCACCCGGTGAGTGTTGAGGCAGCGTGATGTGTAAATGTCCATCAGGGAGGGGAGAGGGCAGCCAGTTATCTTTTGTGCTGTCTTGACTACTCTCTGACTTGTCCCAACTTTTTTGGGATTTGTTCACACTGTGAAATTTTGAATAAACATATTTTTCCTTTAAAATTTTACATTTACTCAGATTAAACTTTTGATCTGTCGTCTATGTTATATTATGAATAAAATATTGACATTTGCCATCTCCACATCATTGCATTCAGTTTTTATTCACAATTTGTTTAGTGTCCCAACTTTTTTGGAATCCATTTGTATATATGTGCATATATATAAAATTATTTATTATTATTTAAATAATTTAAAATATCCATCCATCATCTTTTACCCGCTTCTTCCATTATGGGTCACGGGGGTCGCCAGTGCCCGTGTCCGGCAATCATTGTGTGAGGGGCTGGGGACACCCTGGACGGGTCACAAGTCCATCACAGAATTTAAATTATTTTAAATAAAAATTTACATTCCAATCGTGCGTCATATCCAATCTTATTTTGAAAAACCACGAAGTAGCGAGGGGACTACTGTACTGTATTTGTATTATTATAATTATTATTGTATTATATTTTAATAATATACAATAATATAATAATTATGCTAAATTAGTAATAATAATAATGGTTAAGACAGCGTTGATCATGTGAGTTTGGGTTCTGCAGCATCACTCAGTGTATCACAGTCAATTTATTGGTTCTGGTCTGATTCTGTTCCAACATGTGGGTCATAGTCCCCCCCCCCCTTAAAGTGCATCTCACGGTTTGGTCCTGGCTGGTTTGTGCAGGAAGCTGAAGTCAGTCTTGGCACCAAGTGTCTGGTACTCGAGCAGTTTGGACTGTGGGGCGCTGATCCGGTTGCCGCAGTGAGCCAGAGTCCAGCCAGGACCCCAGCCCACCCTGAAGGAGCGGGTCGCAAACAGCCCCGTGTCCATCAACAGCCCCCCCTGACGAAGAACCACAGGCTTGTTAGACACATCAGGTCGGTACCATATCCGATCCGGTAAAACGTTCTGAAGGTCCGTTAGGACTCTGATCAAAACCAACCTTCCCCTGAGTCACGGACTCTGTGACAGGGACAGGACCGCCCTGCCGACGGACCCCCACCGTCCTGATGGGAGGTTCTGAAGCCCGAGGCGGCAGCAGGAAGGAGGCGGGGCCCGGACCCTTCCACTGCAGGGACCGGGAGGGGTCGATGGCGGCCAGAGCTCCCCGGGACAGAGAGGGAGGGGGGCGAGGAGCATCTGGGAGCTGAGAGAGGAGGCTGGAGGTGAACCGGGCCTGAAGGAGACCTCCGGCTGCAGAGACCAGGATCAGAGTCAGAACACAGACAGGAAGTCTTCAGGAGGAAGAGGAGGAAGAAGAGTTTCGTACCGGAGGACCGGCCCGGAGCTCCCGGCAGAACCAGTCGAGGAGACGGAACCTGGGAGGAGACCCTGGGCAGTGAGCGACGCTGGACCGGGTCCAGCTCCTCCTCTTCCTCAGCGAACAGAGACGCCTTCATGATCTGAAAACCAGCAGCTGATTCAGTCTTTGATCTTTTTTTAAGAATTCTTAAAAAAAAAAAAAAAAAAAAAAAAAAAAAAAAATCACATTTTTAACAAAGTTTCTTTAAAGTCGACGCAAAACAAAAATAATTCCTTCTGGAAACTCCAATTCAAGTTGAAATTTTCTACTCTGAACCCAAAAAGTTGGACTTCTGGAACAGGATGATGTAAACCAGCAGGAGGAGGCGGGGCTTCCAGCTCCAGGGCTCCGCCCACAACCCTTTAATTTGTGGATCAATGTTGAATTTAACATTAGCTCAGTTCTGAGGCGGAGTTAAAGTTTGATGCGACGGCAGCAGTTTTGTGGACCGGTTCTGATCGGAGCAACAAGTTCCTCCCGTCTGAAGGGGGTTGTTACCCCCCCACCCCCATGTTTATTAAATAATGTTCTTCAATTTGTCTCTTTAAAGAAATGGAAATATTTGTGTAACATAAACACTTAAGAACTGTTCTTTAAAAGTGTTATTTTTTATACTTTAACATTTTTTCACTTCTTTAAATTGTTACAGAAAACTCTTTAAATGAAAATATCCTGAAGCTGCTCAATAATCCAGGTGGAAACATCTACAAACGTTCAGTCAGGTCCTCTGGATGGGTTCATCTGAAAGACTTCTTCAGCCGAGGAGCTGCGTTCAGCTCAGTGTTAGAAACTTCACCTTCTCGTGGTGGATCAACCAGTTTGTTGTCGACATCCAGAACTAGCTGCGCCCTGTTAGCATCCTGATGGCTGCTTGCTACTCTGAGGTCTACACTCATCTCCAGGTCAGAGGTCACTCCTTCAGGGATGAAGATGTTCACATCCTGGACAGAGAGGATCGATGGTTTGAGAGGAGTAAAGGAGGCCATCTTTGTGAAGAGCCCGTCCATCATTAAACAGGGCGGAGCCTCCGTTAGCAAGCAGCCATCAGGGCACCAACGATCCACGGGAACGCCCAGACCCAAACAGAACCCTCTGCTGTAGAACCAGGTTCAGCTCTCCTGACGTTTTAAACGTTTTCCTGAACAAACGCGGCGCGGATCAGCTCCCTGAGGTCACTTCCTGTGTGGCGGCGGCTGTACCTGCAGGGTGTGAGGGTTGATCCCCAGTGTCGAGGCGATTTGGCTCGATGCAGAGGCGCCGTCGTGCTCAGACACATCCACGTCCGCCGCTGGAAGCTCGCCGTCCTCCTCGGCTCCCATGATGCTCTCTGCCGGGAGGCTCTGGGTGATGTCGGCCATGTCGCTGTCCAGCTCCGCCACGCCGCCCGCCGGGTCCACGAGGGCGGGCTGAAGACACGGACACAGAGCGATTACATCCTGAGAGTCATGTCTGAACAAAGCGCTTCACAGCCGGAATAAAACCCGACCAGTTCTGACCCAACTGGACCCCTGCTGCAGAACAAGTTTGTTTTCCTTCATCCTGCAGTAAATAAAAACGAGTCTCATCACGTCAACAGGTTTAAAGATTTATTAGAGATTCTCTGAACAAACTTCAAAAGCTTAAACTTTTATTAAAACTTCAAACATCTTCAAGTTGATTGAAGTTCAGCTGCGAGGTCAAAACAAAAGGTTCTGATCCAGATTCGTCAAAAACAAAAGTCTCCGACGACAGAAAACCCGCTGGACGTTTCCGTACCGAGGAAGCGTCAAAGGTTCTGATGGAACCATCTGGGTTTACTGAGCAGAGACGTAAAGAAACCGAACGGGCCGTCAGAAACAAAGTCTTTAAATGACCATAAAATGACTGAAAGGCTGAAGATTCTCAGCCGAAGAATAAAAACATTTTCTGACTTTAGGCTCCTCCCATCCAACTTTCACAACAACCTGACTCCACCTGGACTCAAAACTCCCAGAGCAACGAGGACGAGTGAAACTAAACAACAGCTTCCTGTTTGTCCTCGGAGCCCCGAAGGTCACGGACACAAACGAGCCGAAACATTTTCACATGGAACCAGAAAGAGCCGAAGTCTGATCATAAACAGCCAAAACGAACTTTCACATCATTTGACCTGATCATGAGGCGTTTTCTAAAACACACGCATGTTCTGACCAGTCCGATCCTCAGAACCGGTTCTGATCAGTCCAGAACTGATGGCGGTGCTGAAATAGCTCCTTTAATCAATGATGATGATGATGAGGAGGAGGCAGGCTGCTCTACCTGAGCGTGCGGCGCCACCTGCTGCTGGGAGGGCGGCCCGGAGGCAGAAAGTGACATCATCGTTTTCGGCTTCTTGGGGTCGGTTTTGAGCGGGACGTCTTCGTCCTCGTCAGAGTCCTGCAGGCCGTACTTAGAGAAATGGGCCACCTGAAACACAGAGGGGGCGGAGCCAGTTACACCTGAGAGTGGGGCTGGACTGATTTAAATCACGAGTAGGGGTGCACCGATTAGTTTCTGTCCGATGATTTAGTTCTATAGGCGACACGTCGGGTGTTAAAGGTCACACCTTCAGTTTTTAAATCTTAATTGGTTGAAACACAAGTTCCTAGAAACAACACAAACTGGTTTTAACTGGTCATGAGGTGGTGCTCTGAAATATGACGACAACCGTTTCTCATGCAGGACATCGGTGCACCCCTAATGACGAGTGATGAGCAGGGAGGCACCTCGAACACCCAGGACCCGGTCTCGGGGCGGTACTCCAGGAAGCGGGCCCCTTGTTTTCTGGAGGCCTTCTCGAGGCGGGCCTCGTAGTTCATGTCGGTCAGACGCTCGGGGCTCCTGATCTGCGTGCAGGTGGTCTTATCGTTGGGCCAGACGCCATCCAGAGTCACCTCGGCACGCCTGGCAACAAACATTTTAAACAGACATTACAGAGCGCTCGGACCCGGCTGCTTCTACAGGCTCCAGGACGTCAGCACGACGGCTCAGTGGTTAGCACTGTTGCCTCACAGCAAGAAGGTCCAGGGCTCAATCCCCGGTTGGACCTGGGGTCTTTCTGTGTGGAGTTAGCATGTTCTTCTCGTGCTGCGTGGGTTTCCTCCCACAGATCAAACATGCCTTCAGGCCCCGGCCTCCCTTACAAGAGGTCTGTGATCTCTGCCTGGTTGAAGGTTAATAAATGTCTGGATGAGCAAGACCACGTGGGAATCAGGTTATATTCAGTTTGAACAGCTTCACTAGTTTCATGTCATCAAATAAGTATTTAAAAACCAAACAGCTCATGTTTAGATCTACCTGATGAGCCATAACTCACCTGTTAAGCCCCTCCCCCTCTGGCGGCTTGTTTTTGTCGTCCGGGTAGACGATGACCTCTTTGCGTCTGAAGTGGACGATGTCATCGAGGTTCAGACCCGTTATGTTCACCTCGCCGTGGAAGAAGATGGAGCCGTAACCTGCGGACCAAAGGCGAGAAGTGGGTGAGTCGTCCAATCAGAGGCGCTCTGAGCCGGACGCCTGCGGTCGCTACCTCTCCGGCCAACCGTGAAGTTTTCCACGACGCACTCCCCGTTCTCATCCAGCATCTCAGCCAGGTCCTCCAGGGAGGGGATGGTGTAGTAACCGACCCGGTTCAGAACGATCCCTGAAAAACGCAGCAGCCACAACATTTAAAGACAAACGCTGCGTTTGCTGATCCGGTCTCTGAAGCAGCAGGTGGACCCAACGTTCAGGTGTTACACTTTCATTGGACACGTTGGACGGAGGACCAACGTGTCCTCCGTGGGAAGGTTAAAGGTGCGGTTCTGACCTGCAGGATGAGGAGCCTGTTGGGACTCCTGTGGCTCCTCCTCCTCCTGCAGAGACTCCTCCCCCAAAGATCCCGACACATCGTCGCTGCTCAGCTGAGAACAAACAAACGAAGCCCGTCAGAAACAACTAGACTGGACCAGACCAGCCCGGTTCAGCCCGGTCCAGTTCCTTCTGATTGAGGAAATATTAACCTTCAAACAGGAAGCAGGTTTTATTTGACGATGTTCAAGTTTGAGGGCTGCAGAGTTTTTGGTTCTGGAGTTAGCTACATGCTAGTTAGCGTGTTCAGGGTTCATTCATCGGTTAATAAAAACATTTTATAACGTTTGGTCTAAGTTCTGTCCCAGTTAACATGATGTCTGGGAGGTTCTGTTCTTTAGAGGTCCGTTTAGGGTTCTGTTCTGTCTGAATACATTTCTCTGTTAAACATCCATGCTGTTATAATTTTATAAAACCGTTGATTCCGAGCCGGCCCAAAGCCCGGTGCTGCTGACCTCCAGGCCGTTCCTCTGCTGCCGGTGCATGTTCAGGTCACCGATGGTGTCCTGCAGACTGGGTTGGGCCCGGCCCTGCGGGACCGGCTTGGCGATGGGGTTGACGTAGAACTGAGTGACTTCTGGGTCGTCGGCGGCTCGGCTACTCGGACCCAGAACCTCCCGGAGCTCCTCGTCCTCCTGGCTGCAAGGGAAAAGAAAGGTTTATTCCTCTGAGTTCAGCGAGGCGCCTCACAGGTAAGCAAAGGGGCGTGTCCGTGGTTACCTGTGTCCGTTGTGAGGGTACTCTGAGAGCGAGGCGAGGTCGTCGCTCTCTTTGTTCAGCGGACTGCTGTACTGACTGGTGTTCAGGTTCTTCAGAACCAGCTTCTTGATGCTCTTTCTGCGGGGGAGGGGGGGACACACACAGTTGAGTGTGATCGGTTGATAAAACAGTGGTGGGGGGAGACTGAGCAAAAGCTCAAGTCACTTCAGAAATCAATCATATGTCAGCAGTAGATGGTTGGCTCCGCCCCTGGTTGCCATGGTGATCACACTGCACCTGGGCACGAAAGCTCCGTTGGTGAGCGATGGCTCGTCGTCATCCAGACCGTCAAAGAGCTGGGACTTGGATCCTCCAGAAGACGTGAGTGCCTTGGGCCGAACCCGGGTCGCAGGCCGGGGGGTCAGCTTGTAGTGAGTGGGTGTGGTCAGCGCCTTCTGGGCCGTGGGATTGGTCGGTTTCAGACGCTGTCAAAACAGAGGAGGTCAAATTTAAACAGCTGATTCACAGAAAACAGAGTCCAACTTTATGATTTCTCAGTTTTTATTTCTGAGGCCAGACAGACGGCATGATGGGAGAAAAGTTCTGCAGCCAATGAGCTGCCACAAAGAGCAGAAGCTCCACCCACTCTCACCTCCTCCTTCTTCTTGGGGTCGGACAGCGGGTTTCTGAAGAGCGGCGAGTCTCCGTACGGCGAGTAGGCCAGGACGTTGAGCTGCTGCTGCAGCATGGCCTGCTGCGCCCCGGTGGCGCTCGGATCGGAGAGGGCTGCCGGAGGAAACGGACAACATTGGGTTCTGGGTCTTAAGCAAACCCCACGAGGAGAACAGGCTCAGAACCTGACGGCACCTCGGGTGGAAAGAGAGTTGTTACTCACCGACAGGCTGCTGCTGCGGCGCTCCAAAACCCAAAGTGCCGGTTCCGCTGTTGAATCCCGTGGTTCCAAACGTTCCCATCGTTCCCAGAGTGGTGCCCAGTTTGTTCTGGTTGCTTCCAAACAGACCTGGACCGGTACCGACTGTGAGGGACACAGAATTCTGTATGAACTGAAGGAATGACCCGACAGACCCATCAGAACTTTCTTCAATAACTGATGAATCAGTTCTGGTTCAAAAACTGAACATCTTTAAATTATTATTTACTAAAACAGTTTATTAAATAATTATTAGATGATTTAAGGAGATTCTGCAGTTTTTGTTTTTCAGTGAATCAAACGACTGAATCTTTCAGCTGCTCCACTCAGAGGTCTCCACAGCAAGTCGGCCAAGCAACAACAGATCGGGTCGGTCGAGGCCCGGATGAACAACGACCACCGGTGCTGTCGACAAACAGGGTGCAGGTGGAAACTGTGCTGCCGTCAGTGGAAGACCACGAGGAGGGAAACATGTCAGGAGACAGAGGAGGAGAGGAAAGTGAAGAATGTAGGACTGAGGGCTGCAGCTGTAAATGTGGGGACAATGACAGACAAAGGTAGAGAGCTGGCTGACATGATGCTGAGAAGGAAGGTAGATGTTTTATGTGGCCAAGAGACCAAGTGGAAGGGCAGCAAGGCTCACAGCACTCCCTCTTCAGAGGTCTCCACAGCGAGTCAACCTCTGTCCTATGTCCTCTCTCTGTCCACCTCATGTCCTCTCTAACTGCGTCCATATGTCTCCGCTTTGTCTTTTTCCTGCAGCTGCATTTCTAACATCCTTCTACCAATATACCCACTGTCCCTCCTCTGGACATGTCCAACCCACTGTCCCTCCTCT